GAGTTCAGGTCATGTTTCTCGCTAGAAACCAACCGAGCCTTGCGATTGCGGCTTCTAGGCGTTTCCTACTGGATGCCATTTGGTAGAAGGGGAACAGAAGAACCTTCATTTCTTGAGTTTTTGTTTAAGACAGACCTCTTTGGAGACTGTTTTTTCTTCTTTGATCGGTGTGAGTCACCTATTTTCGAACTCACCTGAGTTTGCTTCATATCAATTTGCGTGTCGACCGAGCGAGTGCTGTTTGGTGTGTCCCGACTACGCTTACCAAAACACTTTTTCGCAGAATCTAGCAGTGAGATGGCCTCGGTTAACAAGCTGTTTGCATCTGAACAGCACTGTTGACAATGCCAAACGCAACCCTTTTTACTGAAACGTTTGAAAGCCGCAGGCGTTAAATTCGTGCAAACTTCGTGGTACCAGCCTTTGCACTCATCACACTACATGCCGCTTTCAACGGGATAACGACAACGCGGACGTTGGAAACTGCTTTTTTGCACTGTCCGGTCATTAGAAATGGGTCATTTTCAAGAAAAGAGCGAGATGCAATAATGCTCAAAGACAAAAAAAATGATCTATGACCATAAAAGTGGAGAACTGTAGATTGTTAGGACCAAAAGTACTAACAGATACAGTAGAAAATAAGGTACTGAAGGGTACCGGCGATAAACCAACTGAGAAACAGTAAACGATACTTTATCTGAAATAAATTCAATTAAAATGAAAACAGTAGTCTTGATACGTAATAAACGATCAAAACAATAAAATTTACTCAGCGAGGAAAAACACCACTGTCCTTTTTAATACATTGTATTATGTGCAGAGGACATTTTGGAACATGTCGTCTAAATAAAATTAAGCTGACTATCATGATAATCAGTTCGATGTTTTGCTATAGCAAGGAACAATTGTTTCAAAAAAACTTCTGATCACATACAATTAATCAAATCCAGGATATCACAATTTTTTGCTGATTAAGTCAGTATGGCAACTCACAAAATAAAAGATAATTTCCAGTTGATTAAACAAGTGGATTTGAATATATATAAAGGCTGTTAAAAGAACGAATGGGCTCATTTCCATGGTAACCCTGAGATTAACACTTTACAAAATACCAAGTACAAAATTTTGTGACTCCCTGAAATTTTTAGTATAGTCTACTTTAAGGAACTATTTGGAGTGTAACACAATATTATTAACCGAAATACTAACTTTTAGTATAGACACATTGCAGTCCGAATTTCCGATATGTTCCGCAGATGACGAAATAGCGCGTTGGAGCTTCAATCCTCAAAGTTCGATAGGAAATGCGAACACATTATTCCCTGAGTACCAAGTCTAATTATTAAGAAGCTTTTGAATTACTTGGGTTCTTTTCTTAATTCTCTGAAGGAACAAATTAAGCGTTATCACTATTTCCTTGTAGGCTTTCCTTGTAGTCACAAAAATTCGTGAGACATACAGATATGAAATATAAACCTCCAAACCACCAGAAATAACAAGTGAGAATAGTCGACAACAATAGACATTTCCTTAAACTTCTTCAAATGCTTTTTGTCAACAATTCTTCCCTGTTTAATAGACTAGTTGTTATATGTGATAGAGTATTGTTCCGTTGAGATAATTCAATCCCCTGTTCTTTTGGTATTGACTATCAAAAATGGCTTAAATGGTGCCACATATATCCAGAGTTGGAAAAATCTCTTTTCCGAAACATCTCTGCAATATAAGGGTACCAGCTCAGTCAACTCAGAAGTCAGGAACTATTGAGTTCGAAGATACATTTGACAGGTTGTGATGTGTTGAGAAGCGTTTATTCGAAGTTTGTTGATGGTTGCAAGAGGTGAGTATCACGTAGTAGTTACACGTAACTCGGTGTGGATGAGTGACTCTGCACCTACAGATAGAATGTGTCCAGTGAAACAGATGACGTCAGAATCAATTTCGAAGACTTAGAGAACTGTTTACTTTCGGGATACATTCACGGCTACATTCTCAATACTGTGAAAGTTATGAGTTGGAGGATGTTTGCAGCTGAAATAATTGTCTTACTATCTTTATTACAATTTAGCGGATTGCGTCATGTCTGAAGATAATTACAGTGTCATTTGAGCGCGTGCGATAACGACGCTACACGCAAGGTACGTGGTAAAACGTTAGTTGATGATTCAGTGAACTAACGAAATTCGTTCGCGGTTATATAGGAAGCAATACAAATCAATAAGCAGTTTAGTTTACTGATGACGTCAAGTTGGTCAATCAGAACTGAGACAGGACGAAATGTATTACGAACGAAACTCAAGGTGCAAGATGTGTGTCAAGTGTTGACAACACGATTGTTCTAATATGAGGTCTATGCTATTGCTGATGATTGTATTTCCCCTTCCCTATTAAATGCAAGTGCATCGTGTGCTCTTGCTAGATTCCTGACTCAACTTTCCCTTTGTCCTTGTCTTTTACAGCCATCTGCATACTGACTTGGTACACAAAGTGCCTTCTGTGCATATGTGACAAGCTACAGAGATTATTAACCTGTTTTTTATTACTGACGAAACGAAAATTATCAGTAGTTGATTCCTAATGTGCTCGGAGCAGATGAAAATGTTTCCTATGAACGAAAATGTGAAGTCCAAAAATTAATCACTTTAATGACAGAAACTACATGCTCATAAGTCAGATTATTTTTTTTAATTACTTGATGTGATTCAGTGGGTCTTTGAGAGTGTTAAGTGAAACTAGGTAATATTTTCTTTCTAGAATTTGTGTTTTGGATCTTAAGCTCAGGTTTACTAAGCTTCAGGACATAAGAGATGCGAAGCATCGAGCCAAAGCTGGTGTCAGTTTGTGCCGAAAACTCTGATTGTTTTTTGTAAACTCGACTCAGCTCAACCCGTTATAACTAACCCTTATGTATTTTGGATAAAAATGACGTTGGTTTATAAAAATTATTCTGAGGTGATTATCATAACTCGCACAAGCCTGTCTCCCGATACCTTAACTTAGCCTTTCTACTTTACTACGAGAAATGACTCGATATGCGAGGGTTGATACTCCAAATAGTGATTTTATTATTGCTTCGTTGCTTCGTATCAATAAATGTTGTATAAATAAGTATGGTTTTCTCATTAGCTGATAAGCCACCCGTCTGCCGAAACTGTCTCTGACTTGTTTCAAACGTTGGAGTATTTGCTTCTGAAAATCAGAATAGAACCAGAATAGAATCACGACTATTGATGCATACAATTGGCACCAAATGGCTAGGAAAGTACCATATTTTCATGCTAAACACACGATTGCAACTTTGGAGGCGCACAAGAAACACTTTTTCAGAACTCGGGAGATTAGTTTTAACTCATCTATATGTGATGTCAACGCAAAAAGCCTACAGTGGGAGAACTTAACAAACTTGTCACTTACGCAGGTATTTTTAAGCTATGATCCATATCGGATGACCAGTTCAAATATTTCATTTTCGTTCATGGTCTACAACCTTTAAGATATAGGGGTATCCGCATAAATCTCAGTATAATTGAGCAAAACCTTCTATGTTACAAATGTCCAGAGCTTGACAACAATCTTGTTTGTAACACTTTTATGGACGAAAGATACCAAACCCAGCAAAACCAGATATACATCCAAAGTACTGGATATGTTTGGAAGTTTGATCTGAGCTGGCTAGTAGTTGCGAGGGATGAGCACCACAGTACACCCACTTGTGGCCCTGTAAGGCTAATGAGGTCAGCATCGAAGTCGAAGACTCACAAGTTTATTTACTTCGAGGATTTATTAACTGCTGCGACTGCAAATGTAGCACACCACACTAAAATTCACCTTACAAAGTTTCACTGGGAAGCCAACTCCATTTTGGTCAAGCGTTACTCAATATTTAAAGTCAGACAAAATAAAGCTACAGACATGTGATGAGTCATGGGATAAGAAGGGCACACACATATACGCGCATATAAAAACAGTCAAGACTGACAAGCGAATAATTGACAAGGTCAACATATGACTCAAGTAGAATGAATAGATTATTTTGTCCAAAAACTAGAATAAGGTATATGGGCATAAAATAATTACTGACACTACAGACTAGTTCGATCTGTAACGTATTAAAATGAATACAAACCATCCAGTGTTAATTAGTTAGCGTGTCTCAAGTACTAATAGATCAAAACAGTAGTGGGATATGATCAACAGACAACCAAACACTGGAATATTATGATTCATATGAAAGTATAATGTTTTGAATTATTTGAACTATAGTACAAACTAAGAGTCTCAGAACTAACGCAATTGAATTAAGAAGTGAGACATAAGCACAAACGAATGTATTGTATTTGGAATTCGAAATCAAGCATTCAACAAGTACAAAGGTATTATTAGTTCGTTCAAACACCACATCCGCCACAGCTTAAATAGAAGTATAAGTGTTTGTGATCGGTTGTACGTCTTCTTGTTAAGTTCATCCTGAGTCTGTCCGACATTGTATAAGATAAAAACTTTGTAGTATCTAGAAAGGGCTCATTAGTATTGGAATTAACAAACGAAATCGGAACAGACTCACCTGGAATTGTATACAATCAGCATATCGGTTTTGTACTGAAATCATTAATATCTAGAATTTGAACCATAGATTTTTCAACCCTATCCTCCCCCACGAAATAATGTTGGATCTTTATATCCCCAAGTTATGAATAATGTGGGTTCATTTTAAAAACATATTTCTCACATTGTTTAGAGTGAACATTAGAACTGTTTTTGTGATAAGGGTAAACAGCAGTTGATATGAAATCATCCGAAATGTAATTAAACTCGAGATCACTTAGTACTCGTGCTTCGCATTGGGCAGGTTTTTCACAAGGATCAAATGCATTATGAGGAGAGGTAATATATGATATGACATCAGGATTTGATTCTTCTGAAATATTCTCATGAAATTCATTTGGACTGTCATTGCAGTGCGTAGGATCGTTAGAAAAATCAGCATCTATCCAAACCACATCAGGTTTTCGATCATGATTAGGTTCATTTAACATATTTTCCTCAGAATTGCAAGTAATTTCATTAGAAATATGTGAATCATTAGGAAAAGTCATACCTGGTACAATAGACCTTCAAATCTGCATCGTCTACTTGTAGTTTTGCGATTGTTTCTAGATCGATTTCTTGTTTACGTACCAGGGTATTTACGTCCTTACGTGACAATGCGTCAGCTACGACGTTGGTGTGTCCTTTGACAAATTGGATATCTGTCGTAAACTGGGAGATGTAATCCAGTTGTCGTGCTTCGCGAGGTGAGTGTCGGTCGTACGAAGTGTTGAATGCGTAACATAAAGGTTTGTGATCGGTCATGATGGTGAAAGTTCGTCCTTGTAGTAAGAAGTTAAAGTGTTTAACGGCTAAGTAGATAGCAAGTAACTCCCGTCCAAAAGTACTATAGCGTTCCTGGGCTGGTGACAGTCTTTTTGAGAAAAACGCTATGGGAGTAGACATATTGTTTACCTGTTGTTGTAATACTGCCCCGACGGCTTTTTGAGATGCATCCGTACACAGAATTAAGTGGGTTGTGGGGTCAGTATTTAGATGTTGTAGCATGGTGGGATTAGCTATCATCGACTTTGCTTTTTCAAATGCTGTTTGGGCATCAAGAGATAGGTTGAATGTTTGATTCTTCTCTCTCTTCGTACCTTTTTTGTCGGCTTTCAGCAGATCGGTTAATGGCTGTAATACTTCAGCACAACGTGGTAAGAAGCGGCAATAAAAATTACACATACCGAGGAAGCGTCGTAATGACTTCACCGAGGTTGGTTCGGGGTAGTTATTAATATCTTCAACTTTCGTCTGAAGTGGTTTGATCCCTTGTGAATCGATGTAATGTCCCAAAAACTGTAAGGCTGGGACTGCGAATATGCATTTCGAAGGATTGATGACGACGCCATGTATTTTAAAACGATCAAAAAGGATCTGGACATGTTGGATATGCTCTTCTAAAGATGAGCTTGCAATCAGAACATCGTCGATGTAGGCAAACACGAAATCAAGGCCTCTTGTTACGTTATCCATGAAGCGTTGGAATGTCTGAGCAGCGTTTTTTAATCCGAATGGCATCCTTAGAAACTCAAACAAACCAAAAGGTGTTATTATGGCTGTTTTCTCAATGTCTTCCGGTGTCATTGGAATTTGGTGATATGCTCGCACTAGGTCGAGCTTCGAAGAAATGCATTTACCGTGTAGGTTTAATGAAAAATCGTGTATATGTGGGATTGGGTACTTGTCGGGAATGGTTTGATTGTTTAATCGTCGACAGTCACCACACGGAAGCCAATCTTGGTCCTTCTTTGGTACCATGTGTAACGGCGAGGCCCAAGGGCTGTTGGATGGTCTGATAATACCAAGTTGCATCATATGTTCGAATTCTCTTTTAACTAATTGTAACTTGCTTGGCGATAGTCTCCTCGCCCTGGCGCTAATAGGTGGACCGGTGGTAATGATGTGGTGTTGCACCTGATGTGAATTACATTCCTTTTGATAATCTGATTTCGTGATGCATTCGTATTCTGACAGAATGTCGTTGAAAACGTTGTTCGCAGGCTTCATTAGTCGTACACCATGGATTTCACAGTCGTTGGAAGGTGTACCCTCTACCTGTAAACGTGTATTTGCATCGATCAATCTCTTCTTAGTCATATCTACTAACAAGTTGTACGCACTAAGGAAATCGGCTCCGGGGATGGGTCGTTTGACATGAGCAACTATGAAAACCCATGTAAATCTTCTGCGGAGTCCGAGATCTAATATAAGTGATTGCTCACCGTACGTTTTGATAGTTGATTCATTAGCCGCTACTAAGGACAATTTAGTGCTTGTCGTATGTTGTCTGCGTGAGAGATGGAGTGGGATGATGCTGATTTCTGCTCCAGTACCGACTAAAAAATCCGAGCCAGAAATGCGATCCCTGATGTAAAAGAGGCGGCTAACTTGTTGGCCAGTAACAGACGCCGCCATTACTGTCTGGCCGGCTCGTTTCCCTGATAATCTGGCTTGTTTGTCGTAAAGTTGCACGGTCGAGTGCAACGACGTGCTTTCTCTCCATAATTAGACTGATACCAACAAATGTCAGCTGCCCGTTTGGATGACCTAGTGCGAGGTCTCGATCTTGATCGCTTTCTCGAGATCGATCTGGCAGAACAAGAGTGGATCGTGGCAATGGTCGCCTGCAACGATGCTACTTGCTGAGTTAAGTGTGCTATTTGCTGCTGAATGTCCAGAGGGGGGTTTATAGCATCCCTACTAGAGGTGTGTACCGCGTAGACTCCGCGACTATCGGGATGTATTTCCATCATGTTATCAGCCATGTCAGCTAAGTCGTCGAGGATGACAGAGGTTCCTGAAATACTGAGGATTTGTCTAACACTATGTGGTAACCTTTGTGACCACATTTGCTTAAGTAGCGTTTCGTCTAATTTGTAAGGGCCGGCTAGCTGTCACATGTGTCGGAGCAACTGTGAAGGTCTCTTATCCCCTAGCTCGCACGAGGTAAGCAGTTGTTGTAAACGTTTTTCGTCTGAAAACGATGTGCGTTGGATTACTGCAGCTTTTATTTTGTCATAAGGGTCAGTCTCTGGTACGTTGTCAATCAGGACACCAACTTCCGTTACTACTTCTATAGGTAGTGCACCGACGACGTGAGCATATTTAGTCGCTTGCGAACGTATACCCCCCGCCAAAAATAGTGCCTCTACTTGAGCAAACCAAATTCTAGGGTTGTTGACACCGTATGTTGGTAATCTTGGTTCAGAAATAGCGTTGACCGAGTTTAAAACATTATCTTCTGGCTGTGATGAATGAAAGGGGTGTAGTGTCAGTTATTATGGCAAGCCCATGTACCTTATTCTAACTTCCGGACATCCTATTTTATTCATTTTACTTGAGCCATATTTTGACCTTGTCAATTATTCGCTTGTCAGTCTTGACTGTTTTTTTTATATGAGCGTATATGAGTGTACATTTCATGTCACATGATTCATTGTATGTCTGTAGCTTATTTTGTCTGCCTATAAATATGGAATAACACTTGACTAAAATGGAGTTGGCTTCCCAGCCATCTTCCATACGTGTCATTTTTGCTTTGCTGTGCTTCATTCGCTTCATGTACGAAATATATGTATTCTCAAGTCAATTCTCGTTATTCGACTTATTTAATTCCGTTATTGGCTAACGCGATTTAAGTCGACGATGATAAACGAGAATCAGCGATAGCAAACATTCGTACACTCTAAATGGAGTCAGATTAATGGGCTACTAAAGGGGTTGGTTGATGGGCTATCTATATCGATAAGTTTATTAGGAGAGTTCATAATGTCAAAAACAAAAATGGTGTGTCGTGTCAAATAATAATAATAAAAAAATATGTAGATATATATAATAGATGTCTATAAAAAAATCGAGGCTCACCAAATAATTGTGGTGGACCAGATGATATATAAACACAAAAAGTATCAACAAAGTTAATAAAAAGTAATAGTAATATTAATATCAGTTAAATGTTACAAATACAATAAAAAATGGGACTTTACTTAAGTTCACCCAAAATGATGCGTGTTCGGCTTTAATCTGGTACAATAAATCCACAATTATAGATGCTTGGTAATTCCAAACGTATCGATGAACTCCCCCTGTGGTGTAATCCAGAGTAAGAGATGGTGTATTCGCTCTCACAGTCTATGAATGTAAATAATATTTGTTTTATATCTCCGTTAACTCAATCTCGAATGAAAACAGAACGGGGAAGTTCAGAGAAGCAGTGTATTTGTTAACCAGCAACGATATGTCACGCTATGTAGTAGCACAACGGAAGTGTTCAAGGTCGTTGACTAAAACAACACGTAGTCATTTAATGATAAATGTACATACAGTGAAAAATTGACAAAACAAATACAAATAATATTAAAAACTATTTACAAAATAAGCTTGTCAGTCATATGTCCACACTCTGAACTTCCATGTGACTCTGCACTGTCTTTTGAAATCGTTGATAAAGATAAATGGTCATCATGAATACTCGACTCAGTAGAATCAGAATTACAAGACTTAATATTAGTTGCAGTAAGATGAACATTAGCATTACAAACTGACTGAACTTGCCCAATATCACGACATTTGAAGCACTTAGAATTACGAAATTTACATGAATTAGAGGAGTGGAACTTGCAACAGGACAAACACTGACCAAACTTGTCCTCATCCTCGTGAACTGCATCCAAACTCAATGAATTGTCTGCATAACCTTGAGTATGCACTGGGTTGGGATGACGTAGTAATGTAGTGGTGTTTTTTATATCCTCATGAATCATTTTACCAGATCTTCCTCCTTTACCGCATTCGAAATTTGTATAATTAACATAGTCTAGCAGTAGTTCCTTGAGAGTTGTATAAGGAAGCGAGATAGGCTTTTCCGGCATAGTCAGAATTCTTAATAAGCTGTATGCTTCTTTTCCAATGAATGTGAGGAAGTGTGCCAAAATATTAACATCATCATCTTCCTTGGTCATAGCCCAGATTTCGAACCTTTCAAAGTAATCCTCAAAAGCTTCCGATGTTGAATGAATATCTAACTTTCCCATTACAGGCTCCATCGTGACGCCAATATAATGTTTTGAATTATTTGAATTATAGCACGAACTAAGAGTCCCAGAAATAACGCAATTGAATTAAGAAGTGAGACACAAGCACAAACGAATGTATTGTAGTTGGAATTCGAAATCAAGCATTCAACAAGTACAAAGGTATTATTAGCTCGTTCAAACACCACAGAAAGGCATTCGAATTAATCACAAGTTTGTAGTGAACGGAGAACTCATGTGGGAAGATCAAAAAGCGCCTTCGTAAAATATGAAAACTATACATTAAACAGATTATTTGCACATCTCCCTCTAGCTGTCCTTTACATATTTCATGGTTCTTTTAATGATAATTATTACAAATACCCATTTTTTTAATATTCCTAACATTTCCAGTTATATGTTCTTATAACAGATGTTCCACTTCTGGTGTTATGCTCCATTTATATTTGTCAACATAGGTAGCATACAACACAAGTTGACCGATAGGATTGAACTAATGTATTTGACAGTCACATGATCAGTTGGTTGTCGTATTTCAAAATGAATATACGATTATGTTCACTTAACACGTTTATGTGAAATACCATAAACATCCAAAGGTACCATAACATTAAAACACAGATCTGACAGTTTAATATAGCTTTATTCATGATACGATGGAAAATGAAATGAATATACAACCATAGACTTAGAAGTCTGAAACCCATATTACGAAGTTCTCTGGCAGAAACAACATGGACATAGCTTCTTACTTAGATGGGTCGACTTCATTATGGATTTACCTTAATAGGATTTGGAAAACCCAGACAGACATTAATAACAAAAATATATAATCTACTACCTACATCATTATAATGTTAATTAGAAACTTGATAGATTTACTTGAATGAGTGTGAAACAACAGTGGCAACAAGATATTTACTTACGACCAATTAAATGAACTTTCTATAAAGTTATATATGTTCTTACATTGTTGTTTGTTTGTAAATATTATAGTCATCTGCAAAAATACTTCCATTTTCTGAAACATATTTCCTTTGACTCCAAATTATAAAGTTTCTTGAAATATAACAAGAGTTACTTCCATTTAGACCTATCTATGATTCCGATAATGTAAAAAGAAGACGAAGATTATCAGAACTATTTGATATATTAGCGCAACACATTTTGAACAATCTGATCACACATGTACTTGTTAAGAGCATTCATATATAAAAATAAAAGGTCAACTAGACAGGAAACGGGGTAAGAGGAGATAAGGCTAATAATAATAAGAGTAATAATAATAATAATGTGAACACAAAGCGAAACCTAATCACTCTGGATAATAAGTCAATATTACCAGGATAGGTTTAAGGTAAGAACAAACTGTTTTTGAACATATAAAGGGGGTTAGGATTTTCGTATGGCTAAGGCTTCAATAAACCTTAGTATACGTCCTTTTACACTTTTATACAACACTAAAAAAGCTGAATTTAGATCAATCTTGTGACCTGTTTCAATTATATGTTTATCAATAAACGGATAATGGATGTTTATCCTCTGCTCTTATTGGGTCACCTGATTGTATTTGTTTCTGCAATCATTTGGGTGCATGTTCACTCACGATTGCTCCCCCCTATGTATGTGTGACCACACACACACACACACATTTAAATTGGTAAACACAGTGGGATGTGAAGCAATCGTTTTCATGTCTTTTAGGTTTTGGATGGAGCATGCACCTAGTTCTTTCTTTGATGATGACTTTTGCTGCGCATTACGTTTTATTGATGACTGATTTAAGTCTTTATTTCAATAAAACGCTATTTGAATCACCTCTAAACGGTAAGGTTACAGTAGGTCTCACTGCACTATGGACTTTCCATCTATTTATGAATTTCAGAGGATAGCTTTTTATATTAAC